AATAGAAAAACAATACCTCTATTTATTTTCTATTTTTAATCTAGATTTGAAAATAATAGAAGAATGCACTACATATTATCATCATTTCTGTGACATGTTCATCATTTCGTTTTTATATTTTCCTACCTAATGGTTTTTAAAGCTTCCCATAAAATAATACTTATACACCTACTCTTTTATGTAAAATTGTTGTTTTGGTCATTCTCAAATAGGTACTCAACAAATATTATTAAAAATAACCCTCCTCGTTTTATAATGAAACAAATAACAGTAGGTACACTGTACAAATTCACATAATATGTATGTAATGTGTTCTATAAGACATTAAGAAATAAATATGTGGAGCATGTTCTTTTTGTACTGAACAAAATTCTGTGTCTTTATCCTTTTTTCCCTTGTAATTTACTTTTTAACGATTCGTTTTATATGGATGAATAAAAACGGAAAGTACCCCAACAACAAATTGCCAATTTATCAAGAAATTCGCATGAACGCATCTCAAATTATCCCTCTTAACATTAACGAGGTATCGATTCAACTTTTCATGTACATCTCAATTAATTGCTTAAAGATGCTATTAATTTATTTTCGTTAAAAACAACAGAAACATATTCATAATTTATACGTAAATGTAAAATAACATTGTAAGTTTACATACAAAATTGCTTATAGTATTATCATCACTGGAATATTTACAAACGTTAAATTAAATTTTCCTCCGTAAGTAATTTGTAAAGAACAGTAAATTATTATAATATCATCATGATAATGCACTATTTATAAATACATACACACATAATATACACTCGATAAATATTAATAGTGATTTATGGTATACCTTACCTATACATATTATTATAATTATAATACTTGATGATAATAATAATAATATTGTTAATAATATATTATAAATCAATATCAATCTAGCTATTGTATTTGTGGACATATCAACATGTACTTATGTGTGTTGGTGGGCTATAATATAGGTATTTAAAACCTCTATCAAAAGCCACAATAGTAAAAATAAATTATCGGTAATATTCAATAATTATAATTGAATGTATGTTTAAACAGTATTTATAATCATGTATGAGATAAATATAAATATAATACATATAAAAGTATGATATAATATTGCAATGGTATATGGGAGTATGAAACTTAATATTTAAAATGATCTAAAAGTTATTAACAAAAAGCTTCATATTTCATAATGCATTTAAAAAATAAAATAAAATCTAGACTTTTTTGGCAGAGGTTAGATATATTTTATACATTCCTGTTCAATAATAATGTATAATATTATGTATACACCTTTTGTTAGGTTATTATTATTATTTGATAGTCTAACTTCATAGTTCTATGCGTTCGTCGTCTATAAACTAACTTAAAAACAAGTGAGGCTGAATAATTATTATGAATTTCATTTATCGGTTGTATTTAAACACATTAAACTATTAAAGTAAACTATACGAACAATGCAGATACACTCTTGATACAAATATGGTCACTGTTAAGTTACTTATTAAGGACTTTCTTGAAGTGTTACAACTCTGTATGTATGAATAAAAGAAAAAGAAATTCATATTTTATTTCAGGACATAAAATGGATTTAAACTCAATTGCGATTTTATGAGTGAGTAAGTCTCTACCGCACGCTTGAATATAACCGTAAATAACGGAATATGAGGGGTTTGAATAACATTCGATTTCGTAAAACTGTATTGAAAAGTTTAAATATTTGTAATGAAAATGCCATCAGAGTTTCAATATTATATTATAGAATCCAAAAAACCAAAAAAATATTGACAGTGGTTAAACATATACTCTGATAAATCAATAATAAACCGTTACTTAATATGAAACCAAAAACTTCTTCAAATACCTAATGTGAATACAATAAAAGTTACAAGTATACTAACTCACTATCATAAATACGGATTTATTATGATAAATCTATTAATATGGTTTTAACACTCCATTTTTAAATTAATGGTTATCTATAGTAAATAATAACATTACATTAGTTGATATATTATTATATAATACAGTTTATTATAAAATACTCTGCTAGTAGGCGGTATAATAAAAAAAAATCAGTCGTGTAGTTTGTTATCTAGCCGGTATCTTTATTTTTTAATTTCTTTCCACATTTCTCTAAGAATGTGATTTAAAATATTAATTATGTTTAGTTTTTGAAGGTTATGAATTACATGTTAAGCATCTATATTTAGTATTGAAAATAATACTATAATATTTAGCTCAAATATTGTCACCTACATGATTTATCTAAACAAATTAATGCCAATTTTAAAAACCGTGTACTATATAATATTATATTTTTTATTCTGTATATTCTTTATTAACTTCTTTTTATTTATTATCAACCGTTGAAAATACGTTAGTTTTATAAAACATAATATGTAGTTTAGGGGTTGATAATTTGGACGGAATATGTATGGGCACTAAAAAATATATAGGCCATATATACAGTTTTAATACAGATGGGAAACTCACCCTTACAGCAGTATTTCACAAAACAAGTTTGTGGCTACGTTATTTGTCAATATGACTTTTGAATGTAATTTAATGGAATTCGTATAAACAGGCTTAAATTTAGTAATATTTTGGTGGTAAATAGGTTGGGGAGTTGTCGATGAGTTATAATTTTTGATGAGAGAGCGTTGTAATTGGGGAGAAACCGACGGCCGATTATTCCACATGATTATTAAATTTATGACACCCTACAGCATACACACGCTTGGGAGAAATTGCGTTACTCCAATACACTGTGTAGCGTTCCCCCTCCGGTCGCCACGAAGATATAGTGGAAAAGGGATAGTATGTTTCGGGGTAGATTTGTATATGTGTTTGTATGCATGTACGTATGTATGTTTGCATGTATGTATGTGCAAATGGTGGCTGGTTTAATTGTTGGTCCAATTTTCAGTCCTAAAATGGAATAAATTATAACATGTATTAAAATACAGGATATTATTGTTGGTCTGTAGTAAGTTAACGTTGTAAAAACGAAAAAGAAAAACTTTGTTTTCTGGGTTCTGTTGAATTAATAGTCGACCGTAAAGAAAACAAAATCACCACTTCCTTTACGCCAACCCTACTCAGTTAAGTTGAGCGATATTTTCAAATCGCTTGTAACAAAAAAAAAAAGTAAAAAGTTTGATTCATTTACGATTAAACGAGTTTTTTTAACACAGTTCTAACTTAATTTTTGTTATAAACGTTTTATTTAACTTTTCATTTGGTTTTATTTTTTTAGGATTAAAGTTTACTAGCTGTATAAATAAATTCTTATTCACTTTCACTTTCACAACATACTCAAATAAATTGAAGTTATTTTGTTTTTATGAATATCATAGGTATGTTTTTTTTTTTTGACGACTTAGACTATGAATATGTTTTGTTCATATGGTAAAAAATAATTTACCAAAATGTGGCAAAAAAAAATGTTATTTATTTTAAATTATTTTTATAGATACCATACAGTTTTAAACATTTTGTTCGTTACTTCATCTGGATTTGAAAAACAAAACTATCAAAATAAAATAATTTAATTTTAATGATCAAAGTAATAACATTTAACTACGTACTTCATGATTGTTTTTTAAATTTGTATTTTAACTCTGAAATACCAAACAGATAGATTTAGCAGATATGTTCGCATTTGTATTAAATAAAGATTTTTATTAGATTTATTTTGTTCACATTATATGCATACCTTCATAACAAAACCATAAACGTGATTGAATAATTTCGTGTCTGTATTAATTGTTTCAAATTGCTTGTTTTGTGTCCAATGTGAGCTACAGATACAGACACAAAAGAGAAGCAGGTCTTTGAATGGTATTTAATCAAACTTCCCAGAAATGTATATATGAGATTTGCATTGAGTGGTTAAACCACTGGTTTCAGAGACCCCAGGGACACTGAAGTTTTAACGCTTTCGAACTATAGAAGGTGATTTATTATTTTAGCTTCGAAACAAACAACGTTTTTTTCTCGTTTTCATTCACAGATTATTTGAATACTATATTTTTTTATGAATCTCCATCATTCAATAATTTTTTTTTCGTTTTTTGAGGTATTTAAATAAGTTTTTGATTTATCATTAAAATGTGCAAGAAAAATTTAATTACCGGTATTTATTAATAACAAAATAATTAGCTGGCAAGTTTTAGTGTCCAAAACGAAGCAGTTTATAATTTTTTTAATAATTGATTACTATGTTGGTACAATACATAACATCTTTATTATATATATAATATATATTATAATACATAAGTATTCTATAGGAAATGATATTACTGTCCTTACTTTAAATAAATACATTTATATTACGACTATATAGCATTGATGGAAATAAGTAATGACCATAGTTATTTCAGATACATTTAACTATTCTTCTCAGGTATATAAACATTTTAACTGTACAAAAAACAACCGATATGTTTTATCTAATCAAAAGACTAAAGAGAAATGTGTTGATGATACCTAATGTGGTGTTAATTTGTTGCTATATATTCAACTCAATGAAAATATTTCCGTTATAAGTTTTATGAATGACATCTAATGTTTTTATAACTATGTAGGTTTTTCCTTATTTTTTAGTAGTTAAATTAGTAAATATCGATTTTGCATGAAGGATTTCCGTGGTTCACGTTACAGTTACATCAACATAATAAAGTTTTATGAGTGTATTGTATACGTAAACGTATCATAGTTTTTCAGTAATCTTCTAATTCCAAGGACTCAATATAAGAAGATATAATATTACTACTGAATTAACAGAGTATAAAATACTATCTTAAAATAATATGAAAATATAATCTTGAACCGTGTTACTGAAATTTAATTTCATAATATTTTTTGCCTCACCTAACCTCAAAAAGTATTACCAATGCAATGTTGGTAGAATTTTAACTTTTAGTTTTTCCCATTAATATCAAAGTTTAATAATTTTCTTCTTTTTTTTTTTACAGAAAATATGGAGTTTGTGTGACAGCCAAAACGTAAGTGAAATAAATTATTATATAATATAAGTAGGTGACTACAAGTGTACAAAATTATGATTTATTAATGAAACATAGGTCAATAATAATTTAATAATATAACTATACTAATATGCACCTATATGTATTGCGATTGATATAAAATCTAAAGTGGTTTATATGAGTAAATAATTTTATCAACCCATTATGAAAGTTTATTAATTTGTTTTTCTCCAATAATAGTACAATGCGATGAAATATTGTATATACAAATATGAATGGTGTAATATACTTTGTGGGTATACAGGCGTACAGCTTTCACCAGTCATACAGTTGACCATAAACCATAAAGTTAGGGTTACGTTATAACTTATAAAACAGTGATACATCATAATTTACGAGAATCGTATTTTGTTCTACTTCAATTAAAAACTATGGTGGACTATGTTTACCAAGCCAACCGCCATTTGTTCATATATTTTCTAACTAAAATGTCAAAATATCTTCAAATTAACAGAATGCGATCATTGGACGTTTTACTGTTCAAAAATACGTAGAAATATTGTAGTTATTATAACGAATATATTATTGTAACACATAGTAGTATATACCTTACATAGGTTGTTACAATGTTATATTATTATGTTGCACAAAGTTTCTTAATTATATAATGTTATTTTTTGTTTTTTACGAGGAAAAAAGAAGTATTTGATTTTGCCCACGTTGCGTAACACGATGTGTGTCGGTGCTCGTGTGTACATTTCTAGTTTAATTTTTTCTTGAACATTCGAGACGATAATCGAATTTCGTTGAGCCGTATAACACAATATTGACAGACAACTTCATTACTGAAACCTTTTTTTCTTATTTGTTGAAAGACCAGCTATTGGTACGTTGCTGAAATCGTTTGTGTAAGATAAATACAATATGTATAGGCGAATTGTCCAGTGCAATTTATCCCTCATATTATGAATAATATATCAATTCACTATTTTGAACTCAATCAAGCCCGATTTGTCCTTTACGTTAAACGTTAAATAATATGTATTTATATACCTAAAGTCTTTGGTATTGTAATTACAGCGATGGTTTTTATGTTGAAATATGTTGTCAATGCGACATGCGATAATTTGACGGTTTATCCTAATATCTACGTATAATATCATATTATGTTCAAATATTATTGCAAACGTGTAGAGTCCAGATAGTTTAAATACAGTATACACAATGTGATTTTTTCACCCATTTTTCCTTTTCGGTGGTAGGTACATATTTTATTCAAATTCAGATTTTTAGAATTCTTAAGTATACCATAAATACGCGCAATTTAATCATAAAAATAGGGTGAACATACGTCTTATAAAACCATCTTCTGTACGTCCTGACCAATAAGTTATGTAAAATAGGAGGTAATTAAAATACCAATTGTGTTGAGGGTGTACTGGTGTACTGATGTAATTTAATTGCTTGCTGGTGTATTGAAGACCTTTAAAATTGCTATTCAAATACTGAACCGGAATAGGACGAATAAATAAGGTTCTACGATTGAGCGCTTTCGACGTAGTCGATTTCGTTCAATTTTAGAGAAAACGTTTGAAAATTAAAAATAACTAATAGCACTTGTCTTTTATATATTATTTATTCTTTGGAAGATATCAATGAGAGTCGAAGTTATGATATTTTGCTTTTCAAATTACCTCCATAATTACACCATTAACCGTAAATAGAATTAGGAAAAACGTAATTCAGATAACTGGAAAGCACAACGTTTATAATATTCATAAAGTGAACTGCATGCATATTTAATCGTCAACGGCCAAAACCTGGTTATAAAGTTTTAAACTATGTTGCGATTTTCAAAGTACGATGATAATATTATACCTAAAAGGAAATTAAAAATATATATATGTATTTAAAAACAGTTGAAAAGCTTATGCTTATACTCATGATATTCCAACGATATGCAAATCTGCATACTTGATCTAACGTGAGAAATAATTAAATTTTCAACATAGATGAAGTATATAAACAAAAGTGAAATTGTAAACTTAGAAACTTCTCTAAATCAAACATTTGTCGAAAAATTTGATTCTCGTTTCATATTATTGTATTGATGTGGTTTACATTATTATTTTAAGCCCTGTACGACAATCGCATTTTAATATTATTATTATTTTCGTGTTTTGCATTTTAAATGACCTCCATTTAATTACTGTTTGTCATATTTTCTAATTCTAATTCAATGTTTGTATTATTTAATTCAACTATAAATTTAAGTGTTTAACATTTTATTCAATATTTGAACTCAAAATGAAAATTGTTCAATCTATTTTCGACTTTAGCTATATATGTTTGGTTATTCGTAATTTGCGGTTTGTTTAGCTTGTTAACATAATTATTTTTCAATAAAAACAAGAATTTAGACATTTAAATATCTTATGATTTGATTTAAAAAATGTATAGGTACTAGTGTACCTACGACCTATACTATGATTATCGAAATTGCAGTGTATTTAAACTTATCATAAGCCTATAGCTTAAAATAAAAAAAAACTCATTGAAAAACTTAAAGTTAAATTAACAATGTGTCAGGAAACTATTTTCAGAATTGTTAGAATTGTCATTGTTTTGATTTTTATACAACACGGATTCATAGAAATATAAAAAAGCCACACCTTTTTTTGATAGTGATATATAGTCGTATTAAAGATTTTGTTATTTTTTTTTTTATTATTATGTGAAGGGTGAGAATCTCAGTAAAACAATAAAATCCTTGAGCTTCTTTCATTCACCGGGAGAGTAAGCAACAGAAGTATATGCTGGAGGGGAAAAGGAGGCTCGTAAATTTTGCAAGATAAGAGATTGGTTCTCAGCCAGGTGACTGTGTTCGTTGTTTTTTTTTTTGCTTCACTTAGAACCCTTGGGACCTACAGCCAACTCGTTCACGTACCCTAGCGTCAAAATTAATTATTTGTTAACCCACACACATACACGTTCCTATGTATATATATATATATATACCGCTTGCACTATAATGGGATCCCCACCGTCGAAACTTTAATCTGGTTAAGTTTTACCGTCACGAAATTAATTGCTACTGCTGATCGATTTACCATGCCCTGTAAAATTGTGTGTAATTTCATCTGAACAACATCAACGATTAAACCCTTCAATTTTCAATTCTAATCATATGTCACCTGGTTCGAAAGTATAATATATGGACATGATTCGATGAAGATAATATCAAAACCTTCGAGTGATACAAAATCATCAGTATTATAATAAATCTCAGTTTATACTTAGACTTGAAAACTAACCATTTTAGATTTTAAGTTTTGAGTAACTTTACACTTATATTTCGGTTTTATAATGATAATTTTTTTAGTTTTTTTTTTTATGAAAACATTATTTGGTCAGAAAATTCTTCTAGAATTTCCAAATAACGCTTGACCTATTAATTAAAAAATCAATTCTAGTTTGTACCTATATAAGTACATAGGAAAGGTACTTTTTCGGAATGTCCTCAATAGTTACTTAAGTTTCCCCGTATAAAAACTAGAGACTATTTTATGCCAAAAAATGAAATAAGCATGTTTTAAATCATAATTCTATTTTAAATGCAATGATTTGATTTTCCAACACAAAATATGTAACTTATAAAATTGTGTAATCAAATCTTAACAACATCAACTATTAAGCCGTATGTTTTCAATTCTTATCATACATATGTCATTTGGTGCAAAACTATATACACGATTTGATTAAATTTAAGTATCAATTCATTTGAGTGCAATAAAATATAATACTTACATGAAAATCAACATTTTTAAATTGTAGGTTTCGAGTAAATCGAAACTTCTATCTATCAGTTTCCGATGTTTTTTCATAGACGTTTTTTACTACAAATCATTTTTGGTCGGAAAAAGTGAGCTCTAGAAGTTCCTAAATATAACGCTTAACCTATCAATTGAAAGTCAATTCTATTTTATACCTATTCTTTAGAAAGCTGTTTTTTACAATTTCCCTCAAGAGTTACAAGTATCTCTGAAAAAAAGACTATTTTAGTCCGAATACAATTAAACAAGCGTGGTTTAAATCAAAATCCTCTTTCAAAAGCAATGATTTAATATCACAACACAAATGTAACACACTTGTCCCAGTGATCCACCCAACTAAAATATCATCTCTTTTTTCAAATATGTAAATAGAAAACATATACTTTTTAACAATAAACTGAAAAAATGTCATTATTCAAAAATATAACATTTTAAATCTATTCTAAAATGGACAGCTTTACTACTTATACAACCACAATATATTATATGCCTAATGCTATGCTTTTCCTTCAAACTCATACATTAAAATTTAAAATAATTATTCCCCTTTTGTTTTTGTGAATGCTCCGTTATTATTAACGATAATGTATACAATATGTAGGGAAGTACACTAGTTATGTACACATTTTAATTCCAAAAATATTAAATAAAAGCATAACTTGCAAAATAAAACTAATGCCATCGTTAACATTTAAGAGAATCGACACAATATAATATCTTAATAAAAATGAATTAACCGTACACTGTTAAAGCTAAAAATTAAACTATCATCTGTACTTAGTCAAGTCATAATAATCATATGGAAAAAATTAACAATTTTTTTGTAAACTTGTGTGTATTATTCATATAATATGATATGTATTTAATGGAAAGAATCTCTTTATTATTTCTGATATACATTTATAAATTTAACTAACCTGTAGTATAATCAGAATTATTAAGAAAATAAAGGCACACAATTCAATTTTACCATATTTTATTAAAACATATTGTCTTAAAAAAAACCTTTACTTTTAAATGAAAAATTCAATATTTAAAAGTTTATAAATTCATGAAAATTATGGAGAATAACAATGTAGATGAAAAAGTTAAGTTTTATTTAATTATGGTTAAATAATTCGTGATAGTTAGTAAAAATTTAAATTAATGTCATCAAAAGTTAGATTAATTTTCTGATTTGTAGAA